ACCAAACATAATGGCACTTTGTATGAAGGCCTGGACGTTTGGGAATGGATGATTTATAATTTCTACTGCCGGAAGCTCCTGTTAAATGTGCATTTCATACTTTCACAGTCTTCGTATCTTCTGGGATAAAATGCGGTGCAGTCCGTTGAAAGTCAGCCAAGGTTTAGGAGGAACATATCACCTCCATCTTCAGGACAATTTGCTTGCTACCTGCTTTCACGCTAGTTCCTCTCTCGGCAAATTCTTCGACCCTCAAGCTGGAGGTGATATGTTCATCCGAAATGCCGGTTGACTCTCAAAGGATTACACGGTGTCATATCCCAGAAGATATTACTCTTCATAACCGCCGTGAGAACTTCAAATCATACATGTTTACCCACTATGAAGATCATACAATACATTCCACTACCTGACTTTATTCAGTATATTTTATGTAGTGCTATCCAAAAGTTCCCGAAATATATTAATACAAACTATTACATCTTACCTAGATCTTATTCTGCACCATCACCTTCAAAGTAGTCCTCTTGGGAGCGCATACACCGATCCCAGCGTTTCTGCCACTTTTCAAATGCATCCTGGAAGTCTTTCTTTGTTAGGGTGTTTAGTACCGTCTGCGTTTCCGCTTGAATTTCCTCAACTGTATCAAATCTTCGCCCCTTCGACTTGATTTTCATGTTGGGGAAGAGATAGAAGTCGCATGGAGCTAAGTCTGGCGAGTACGGTGGGTGGGGAACAACTGCCATCTTGTTTTCAGCCAAAAGTTCCTGCACAATGTAAGCCGTATGCGGTTGTGCGTTGTCATGGTGGAGTACCCAGTCGTTCGTGAGCCACTTCTCTGGACGTTTTCTCCTCCTGTCGTCCCTCAAACGCCTTAGAACATCACGACAGAACTCTTCATTGACTGTCTGACCAGGAGGGACGAACTCCTTACGAACAATCCCGTCAATATATATAAAAAAAAGAGATGAACATGGACTTAATGTTGCTCTTGTCGAGCTTCTTTTTGGTCGAGGTGAAGAAGGGCTCTTCCAATGCGACGATTGCTGCTTACTTTCAGGGTCGTAGCCATAAACCCAACTTTCGTCACCAGTGACAACCTTCGGAAGAAAGTTTGGATCCTCTTGAAGTTGTTGCTGAAGTTCCCTGCAGACTTCCAAGCGATGCTGCTTCTGTTCATTTTGCAGCAGTCCTCCTCATGATCAATTCTTCTGACAGAATTCGTTGACACGTACCATAACTTAGTCCCAAAGTGTTACAGAGGTCTTGGAGGGTCACTCTACGATCTTGCAGAATCAGATCCCTAACTTTCGCGACATTTTCTGGTCTGGTGCCAGTTGACGGCCGTCCCGAAGGATCGTCGTCATCATCAGTCTATGTTCGGCCATTTTTGAAACGCTCATACCAGTCATAAGTTTGTGTCTGGCCTAAACTGTTGTCACCAAAAGCTTGCAACATTTGGTGTGTTTCTGCAGTGGTTTTCCCAAGTTTAAAACAAAACTTTATACAGACACGCTTCTCTCTCAGGTCAGCCATCGCAAAACCGCAAACTCACGGAAACACAACAATGAAAATACGTTCACCAACAATAAGCCCAACCACTCAACTCGACGCCGCTTGCCACATTGATTCAAGAAGGGTGTGTAGGGAGACACCTAGCGGTATTTCGATGTACTCATAACCATTCGCGCGCAAAATTCAAATTTCGGGAACTTTTTGATAGAACCACGTATATGTGCAGCAGCATTCTCCATTCTTCTATGTAATTACACCACAAATACTATACATCTTTTCCGTCACTGCAGAGGAGCTACTTGAATGGCAAAATAGCGGCTCCAGTCTAGAAAACCGAAATTACCGGCCGTGGGGATTCACTGCGCCGACCACGCGACACCCTCTATCCGCTAAAGTTGGCACTAACTTCGCCGACAAGCGGCGGTCGCTCGGTCGGTATAGTCCGCTTGCGGACTAAAACCACGGAGGTTCTTTATTGCACAAGCTCCGTAAACCGAGCTATCTAGGAGTTTAGTCAAGCCGTTGCAAGATATGACAACGCAGCTTGATGCGCCTGCTCGCTATGTTCGAACTTCTGGCCTCCCATGGATTCCTTTCGTAGTCCAATGATATGGAAATTGCAGGAAGCCGAGTCTGAACTATGAGGAGAAAAGTGGAGTATTTCACATTCGTTTTGTCAGGGATATACTTGTCGCCGGATATGGTATCGAAAAAGCCAACGTTCGTAATAGTCACATAGTATATGCGCGGTGAATCAGTTAATAACGGACTTCAGAACTTCTATACATGCGCAATCGTTTCAAATATCCCAGAAGGTGGTGAGTATTCTCGCACACCAATGCAGACAGAAGTCAATGGATTTCAAAACTGAACACTCAATCGGCAACAAGAGCGTTATCCTGATGTACGTAGGTTGTACTGAAAGTCATGAGCAACAATTTTTTGTAAAGTAACATGCTTTATTATTGACAAACCAAATACACCACCTCAATCTACAGACCTTTCTTAATTTTTCCACATAATCTCCGCTTCTTTGTACACATTTCTCCCAGCGTTCTTGGAGTTTGAAAATTCCCCTTCTGTAAAATTCCGTTCCAGCCATCCGAAGACAGTGACGCACTGCTTTCTGAATTCAGCGTGCTTATGGACGTGTGTGCATGGGTGCGAGCAGTGTTCGAAGATGGGTGAAACATTTTAAAGATGGGAACACCAGCATCGAAGATGAGCCTCGGAGCGGTCGTCCTCGAACAGCCTCAACTGAACGCAACAAGTTAAGAGTGGATGAGATCATTCAAGATCACAGGCGTGTGACTGTGGACACAATAGCCCGAAAACTTGGAATAGGGCACAGTGCAGTATAGGAGATGATTGAAAGCATGGGCTATAGGAAAGTTTTCGCTCGTTGGGTCTCGCGGTTATTGACCGAAGACCACAAAGGTCACATTGGAAGCAACTGCAAAGATGGGGTGGGAAGTTCTTCCACACCCCTCCTATAGCCCTGATCTGGCACCCTCTGACTACCATCTTTTTGGATTTGTGAAGGAACAGCTGCGTGGACAACGTTTTGAGACAAGGGAGGCAATTCAGAAAGCAGTGCGTCAGTGTCTTCGGATGGCTGGAACGGAATTTTACAGAAGGGGAATTTTCAAACTCCAAGAACGCTGGGAGAAATGTGTACAAAGAAGCGGAGATTATGTGGAAAAATTAAGAAAGGTCTGTAGATTGAGGTGGTATATTTGGTTTGTCAATAATAAAGCATGTTACTTTACAAAAAAATTGTTGCTCATGACTTTCAGTACGACCCTCGTATATCTGCCCGAAATTTCCTCGTCTAGAGAGCGATCTTCTGGGAGTTATCCGAAATCTTTCAGCCGCTCAAGCGAGAGAGACAGACGGTCATCGCGACAACTTGGGCGAACTCGGAAAACCAAAAGCCCATATACATTACAGTTTCACTTCAATATCGTTTCAATAAATCGCTGAAAAGCTATTCTGAAGTAATTTTCATTCGTATGTAGGGCATCCTCTTGTGTGTATCACTAGTATGTGGTATATCCGTCAATCAATCCGTCGCGTAAGCAATTCAGTAACGAACAGCGACATTTATGTTTATAAAAACGCCGGATGATGGTCAGAACGACAGAAACATGATTTCAATAAACATCAATTACTGAAGAAGAAAAAAAGATGTGACTGACGGATATACAATATACTACTCTGAAATCCGACATTTTCTTATGTGCCGGCTGAATACTTTTGTCTTTCAGTTTCAGGACTTCTGTGGCAGGCCGTGGTGTCATTTTTGAATCCTCGATCTCATGTAAAAGGCGTCTGGGTGATTTTCGACGAAAAGTTCAGCACCGACTTCGTATAGTTTCTTTTCGGTGAACACTCAGTGTTTCCATTTGATACACCCTCCCCACACCACTTCTGTACAAAACCGATCCTCATATGTTTAACTTATTTTCAACTATACAAACAGTTGTCTATTTGATACTGTAGCATCCTGGCACTTAAAAGCAGCAATCTTCCTACTTTTCTTACACAACCTGTTTTCCGACGGGTATCGTACGTTAATGCCCGCTGTTGCAGTGTGCATCTTGCACGTGCCACTTCTAAACAAGCGATAACGCTACATACTGAACAACAGGGGCTTGCGATAATGGTCGGCCGGAACATAACGCACAGCTTGCCTCTCGGCAACTGTTCAACGGCTTATTGTGCCGATAATGAAGAGAAAGTGGACTCTTGTTTCGTCGAGACCCCTATCAGTCCGAATCTCTTCAGCACAAGGTGGCACGAGGATGGTCTGTTTCGCCCGCCTGAGCGGCCGAACACTGACGACCGCAATGTACGAGTATTTAGAGTAAAAATAAGCGGCCTCCGTAGTCTAGAGGTAACGTTCCCACCTCATGACTCGTAGTACGCGGGTTCAAATACCCGGCGGAGGTCGTCGAAATTTAAGGGCGGAAAAATTCAGGGAACAAGTCCTCCGGGAGGGACTTTAAACCGTGGGTCCCGTGTCGTAGCTTTACGGCACGTAAAAGAACCTCATACCTCCAACGGAGGTCATTGAGCCAAAATTGCGGACGTTTCCCGCCCAACAGCAGTCACTAATACCTCCGGTAGATGGGGGAAGCATTATAGATACCTCTCAGCTAGTAGAGCCGGTCTCGCTGGCTGGGCGGGACTGATGGTAAGCACCAATACCGGTACGATATAGAGACTGGTAGAAATCATAGAGGGAAGCACAATGGACCACTACAGGTCTAAGTGCATGGGGAAACTCACCCTCTCTAATAACTAACTAACTAACTAACTAGAGTAACAATAAAAGTAACCGAATGTTAAAATTTCTACGTGCGGCACTAGATGACAGATGCATGCAGAATGTAAAGGGCCAAGTCTCATGTCATTCCGGGTGCAACACTCCAAAATATCCTGAAATGTCCATGCACTTCGTTTAAGACATATTATGTTTTTACCTTCTGGCCAGTTGTCGAATACCGTCTGGGCGATGTCCCCCGCCGAATCGCTGGGACTAAACAGGAACTCTTTCGTCTTCCCGCTGACCAGTATCAACCGCAGATTAATCTATAAGCAAAAACACAAAAATGATTTAACCATGTCATTATTAAGGCTCTGAAATAATATACAAAATACAAACCACTGAACAATAATAAATAAAGTCGTAACGTTTCCGGATGACTAAATGCAGTGAAATGTTCTAGGGCGATCAGCCGCGCCGACATATAACATGAATTATAAACTTCGACGTCTTTTTTCCTTTCATTATCAGCCACTGAAAGAAGAAGTGACACAATTTTCCAGTGACAAAGTCTCCACAATGCCGGAGTCTAATTATGTAAGCCCGAGACGTCAATGCGGGGAAAAAATAATTTGTTAGCATACAAGTGTGGAAATGTTGATGTCATTAGCGTACTTTCCTTGTTTTGAAAATTAAAAGTAGGCTAATGATATCACCCTGCTGTCTGTGTGAGTATGTGTGTCTGTTTTGTATCCCCCATATGAACTCTTGAATGGCTGAACCAATCTTTATAAAATTTGGTATATATCTTAAGGCACCTTAGCTCATATCAACGGCGTAATTTACAAATCCATCCCGTCAGTTATACCAGCACTATATCCTCTCAAACTTATGAGAAAACGCCCTAATATTGCTTGAACGCCTGTACCAGTCTTCATAAAACTAGGTATGTATATAATGACACACGAAGCCATCTCAATGGCGCACATCATAAGCCCCTCTCATCAGTACTATCAATATTCCGTGTCTTTAGTCCGCAAGCGAACTATACCGACCGAGCGACCGCCGCTTGTTGGCGAAGTTAGTTGGTTAGTTATTGGAGAGGGTGGGTTTCCCCACGCACTGAGACCTGTATTGGTCCATTGTGCTTCCCTCTACCAGTCTCTATATCCTACCGGTACTGGTGCTTACCATCAGTCCCGCCCACCCAGCGAGACCGGCTCTACTAGCTGAGAGGTATCTATAATGCTTCCCCCACCTACCAGAGGTATTAGTGACTGCTGTTGGGCGGGAAACGTCCGTTAATTTGGCTCAGTGACCTCCTTTGGAGATATGACGTTCTTTTACGTGCCGTAAAGCTACGACACGGGACCCACGGCTTAAAGTCCCTCCCGGAGGACTTGTTCCCTGAATTTTTCCGCCCTTAAAAATTCGACGACCTCCGCCGGGTATTTGAACCGCGTACTACGAGTCATGAGGTGGGAACGTTACCTCTAGACTACGGAGGCCGCTTTGTTGGCGAAGTTAGTGCCAACTATAGCGGATAGAGGGTGTCGTGGGTTCAGCGCAACGGATCCCCATGGCCCTTATTTTCGGTTTTCTAAACCGGAATACCAACATGACAGCGTCTCAAATTGTTGAGGTAATACCCTTAACATTACTCAAATGCCTAAACTGATCGCCATGAGACTTTGTATGTATATCATGTCACCTGAGGTCATCTCAACGGTTTACTTCACAATCACTTCCATCAGTAATACCAACTCTGAAAATTCCCAACTGTACTGTTTATTGACTTTATTATGCATGCACACTAAAGTTTCCTTTCTACTTTATCGAATTAAACAGGCCTAGCTCTGAATGGTAGGAAGATCAATATGCTTAAAATTTTAACAATCAGGCGTGGCGTGATCAGAGACAATGCGAGATGTTTTAGAAATGGCCGCAACAGAGCGCCGTTCTCAAGCCCCGCCTCATACATAGGTCGGATAAAAAGTAATGGCAACACCTCTATAGTTCTGAAATGTCTTTATTACCTGAGTTAAACACACTTACACTCCTTCAATATAATCGCCCCCCCCCTTTTGTGTACCACCTTCTGCCAAATTTGTGGCAGGCGTTGTACACCATTAGCGCGTCCACTTCTGTTGATATCCAGCAGTGACCGCCCTACAGCACGAATAATCTCCTCTCTTGTGTCGTAACGTGTCCCTCGCAGTGGTTCTTTCATTTTGGCAAAGAGATCATAATCGCATGGACTCATATCGCGTGAGTATGGCGGAAGTTGCAGTATCTTCCATCACCAGCGGCGAAGGAGATCCTTGGCAGCGTCAGCAGTATGAGCCCTTGCATTGTCATGAAGGATGATGGGGTTCGTTGCCAACAAGTGTCCTCGCTTTCTCCTGAGTGCTGGACGAAGATGATTACGCAGGAAATTGCAGTAGTAGGCAGCGTTTACTGTCTATCGTTGAGGTACAGTGTGGTGCAGTATCACTCCATCAGTGTCATATGCTACAACGAATATCGCCTTCACATTACTCTGTGTAGGGCGCACTTTCTTTGGACGAGAAGAGACAGGATGCTTCCATTCATTTGACTGTCGCTTCAAGTGCGGTTCGTATGAGCGAGCCCAAGTTTCGTCCAGACTGACGATCCTTCCAAGGAAGTCGTCACCTTCCTTCTGGTACCGGTCCAACAAGTCCTGTGCAATTGCATAACGTTGCCATTGTTGCACCTCGGACATTGTATGGGGTACCCAACGCGCTGCAATGTTGCGGTATCCAAGAATATCGTGCAGAATGTGGAGCATGGTTTTGTGACATACGCCTACCTCAGCCGCTAACTCTCGCGCAGCCCATCGACGAACGACATCCAGCAAAGACGCAAGAAGATGAATTGTGTGGTTGTCAACATGGGGTCGTCCTGAATGGCATCCCTCCCTTCACGGAACAATTTCACCCATCGTGCCACTGTGCGATATGGCAGAGCAGCATCACCACATGCTTCTCTCTGTCCCTGACAACAGTTTTGTGCACTACGACCTCGTGCAACTTCAATTTTTATCCAGGAGCGTTGTTCTTGTTTCGTAAACATGTTGTTAGGGTGCTTGAACTGAGCTCCTGCACTTCAAGACGATGCACAATGCACCTCAATGAAACACAGCTAGAGTCACTCACCGCACTACATCAACTGAACTTCTGCTATCAGCTACAGACGGCGCTAGAGCCACCTGACGCACATCTTTCATGTTACAGCAGTGTTGCCACTACTTTTTATCCAACCCTTGTATCTGTCAGTGCACTTCGTAAAACGTTTATCGTTTGAAACGGTCGTGCGTTCTTGTGAACTTAACTGTGTGTGTCCCAGAGTGCTGAATTAAATGATCCTCGATATGGCTGCCGAAAAACTTATGAACATATCGAAAAAGAGCGGAAAACTGTTCAAACCGATCTAGGAATTGTTGTAATTACTGCAGAACTGGGGATGGATACAGAAAGTGATCATCAAATGTTAACCATCAGCCTCAACATGAAAACGGTCTTGTGCTCAGACGGTACCACGCTGCTGTATCTCTGGCGCAAAAACAGATCATTCTGAACGAACATCGTCCTTACTCTCCCGAGTTGGTTTCGTGTCGCTCTTTCCAGTCCCGGTTAAAAAATTTTCATTTTGTGGTAGCGGTCCAGCAGTGTACATCAGGCGCACTAAAAGCGATATCAGAAGATGAGTTCAAGTAACGCTTCCAAATGTGGCACAAAACAGCTTTCTGTATAGCTGCCAAAACAAAGTACTTCGAAGTGAACAGCAATTAATTCTTAAGTTACTTACGAAGTCATACGTGGAACTTCCTAGCCATACCTCGTATGCCAACATTCACCTGAAGGGACTAAGAAAAAAGTGCAATCCTCAGTGAGGACAGCCGAGATTTCAACCCAAACCATTCCTAATAAAAAGCTGCAATGCTAAGCACCTGAGCGAGGCACTATTCACGGAAATATACTGTAATACTGGGATACAATATACAGAGTGTCCCAGGAGTTTGGTGCCATACTTGAGGAGCGTATTGTGGGTTCCCTATAAAACAACTTTGAAATAGGAACCCATGTCCGCAAACGTAAAATAGCAGCGCTAGGGCGGCATTTAAAATCATTTTGTTTAAACTTGGCGCCTCAATGTCGAACAGCATTGCATAGAGGAACAACCCTCCACCAGCACTCGTGCCATTGCAAAGATTGTGAGGACATCAAAATCAAGTGTTTGGAGGATCCTGCATCACCAACAACTTTATCCGTATCATCCAACGCGAGTACACGACGTATGTCCAGCTGACTTCGTACCACGAGTTCAATTTTTTCAGTGGATACTGAACCAGTGTTTACATAAGGCCAAACCTTATGAATCACGTGTTCTTCACAGACGAAGCGCAATTTACAAGGGATGGCTGGTTCAACTGTCGAAACAGCCACGTTTGGGCTGACGAAAACCCCAACGTTATTGTAGTTGGTTACCACGAGGCGCAATTTTCTGTCAATGTCTGGGCGGGCATCATTGGCGATCATTTGATTGGGCCTTTCTTCCTACCCCCGAGACTCAATGGGCCCATTTACAAGGTGCTCCTGGAACGTATCCTTCCGACTTAAGTGGATCCTGCTTTTCATGGTCGTTGGATAGGAAGAGAAGGCCCAGTGCCTTGGCCACCTCGATCCCCAGACTTGACACCTCTGAACTATTTCGTCTGGGGCCATGTGAAAAGCCTGATCTACGACACGCCTGTGGATAATGAATTCGAGCTGTTGGCCAGAATTCTTGTTGCATGTGACGGGATACGTCAGACATCTGCAATATTTGAAAGGGTTACGCCAAAGTTTCTTTCGTCGATGTAACGCATGCATTGAAAACGGAGGGGGCAAATTTTAACATCTACTCTAGCAGGTGAGTCTTAAGAGTTTGGAGGGGGTAATATTCCTGTGCATGCTCTTCGACATTGAGGCGCCAAGTTTAAACGAAATGATATTAAATGCTGCCCTAGCGTTGCTATTTTACGTTTGCGGACATGGGTTCCTATTTCAAAGTTATGCTATAGGGAACCCTCAGTACGCTCCTGAAGTATGGCACCAAACACCTGGGACACCCTATATAGACATAAAACAAGTTTTGAGACGATCTTCCCTTAAGATGCTTCAATCTGTAAGAATAGGCCTGCCGAACTTATAAAATACAAATTATTAAATCAAGAGACCTCGTGTTATACAAAATTTCAACTACTTGTACATATACGGTGTGTCCAGGATCCGTTAAGACTCTTTCTTTTTTATTATTATTTTGC